CCTATTAAACCCTTCCTGCAGGCAACTACGAGGGGATCTCATACTAATCCTCCGTTTAAGGAATGGCCTGGATATTTGTTTTATCCCGGATTATTTCTTTACCCGGGCAATCACGACCACCTTGCGCGGTGATCGCCTCAAACTAAGTCCAGGCAAAACAAGGATCAATGAGGCAAGCTAATCATTATCGATGCTACGAGAGGTCGGTAAGCTTCTCATTCATCGATTACAATGGCATTTAGTACACATTTACTTTAAACATTTTCAGTGATGGCAAGCTGCTGCCTGAGTACGCCTGGGAGAGCGCGTTAAACATGAGAAGGGACCGTGATGTCTAACTACTTCTATGCCTCTCTACTAGCCTTGCGATACTAACGCAATGGACAGGTGCTGATCAACCAGGAATCGAGCATTACCTGATGACTGCGGTGAATGCGAGACGTGACATAAGATTACTTCAATTTACACCCTTCGTACGGCTGTATCAACTCCGATGCAGCTTTAATCAATTCCAGAGAACTCGTGCACACTAAATAACGCCTACCAATCCCTTCAATTAGCCTGCAGAAAATCACTGTGAAAGAAAATTTCCTAAATTTTTTAGATAGGAGGACGGACGGACGGAAGGGAAACCGAAACGGTAGATGAATTCTCCGCCCTCTCACTGCATGTCAGCGCATTAGCTATGATACAGGTCTGAGGCCTTACGGCACAATATTAGAGGCGTGTTCCGTAACCCGATTTTTGAGCGCAGTTCTAACATAACCACGTTATATAGCAACAGTTCAATCATTTAGAAAATAAATATTCTGAACAACCGTTCATTTATCAAATGTTTATTTTGAATAAATTATGCGTAATGACGCCGAAAAAGTTCCAGATTGTTAGAGCAACATATAATCAAGTAAACAATTTAAAAAGAGATGAGCATAATCTCTCCTTTTTAAAGAATTTTAATAAGGAATCTAAGACTGTTGGGTAACTACCGCTCCACAGATGTCGTCTAAATTGTTAAGGGAGTCCAGTGAAACCCAAGACCAAGACGATAGGTCTTCGGTTACAGCCGCGGATCATCCGGGATGAATTCCTCAATTGTATTCTTGCGGTTTGCCGCACCTCCTAGTGGAAAGGCAAAATTTGCAGGGTCAGATGTGGAAATAGTACACAAACTACGCAGTTGGTACACATGAAAGTAAATTCCAGATTGTACCAATTAAAGTGCGACTGATGAAATAGCAGGAGCTACCTAGCACCTTGTTCGAAGTTCAAGACGTATTTCACATCCAACCCTCGAAGCAGAAGGAAGTAAATTGGCCAAATATAGTGATAAAGGCAGGTTAACAGCAAGGAGAAGCGCTTACCCAAAGCGTAAAGCCAGTCTTTGTACACCAGGAGGGTAAGCACCGCTCGCGGCACCAGCAGATCCGCAATACGCGTCCACTCGCCGAGTGGGCGTTCAGCATCTGGCGGGGAAAATACCTCCACGACACTTTGCTGAATGCGCCGGTTGGCTTCGTCTCTGATGTAACCTCCAGCAACAATTATCTTTCCCTTAAAAGCCACTGCTGCGTGAACGTATCGAGGCGTCCTCATTGGCTCAAGAGGTCGCCAAAACTTCGTTGTCTTAATGGTGTGGGACCAGTTAGCCTGAAAGTGACAGAAGTCGACGGAGGCACGGCAGTATTCGCCGTTCCAGCCGCCAAGCGCGAAGACACGTCCGTCAGACAGCGCGACAACTGCCAATGCATGCTTCACGTCCCGCATTGCGGGAAGTTTGTGCCATCTAGGAAGAAGAACCGAAGTCAGCTGACTAGGCTGGCAAACAAAAGTGTGATGAGTGGGACAAGCGGAGGTGCAAAACATTGTTGGAACAACTACAACTACAACTTCAACTATATTAGTTGGCATATGTCTTAGATCAACAGAACTGAGAGCAACACAGATTTCCAAGTTGTTGTGCCCTGAGATTTGAGTAGGCATCTAGCAAATAGAACTACCTTACTAAAGTTGTTTTTCCTCATAGTCAAAAGTAGCACCCTTGTCACGAGTCCCATTGACAGTGCTTTCAGTATCGATTACTTCTTATTAATTTAATTAGTTAGGACTGAAAGTCGGCAAGGCAAACAATTAAGAATTGAAAAAACTTAAAGAGTCTTGCTGATATAACCATCATTACGAAAGAGCGGCACTTTCGATTGCACTAATTTGATCATCGTTTTCGAGTTCGCGATACCCACGTGCTGCGTCTAAGCAAAACCACACATTTTTCGATACTATTAAGCAGAAGTCATGTAAATTTTTGCCATAATATATGCTTTAAAAGAAATCTTAAGAAATGGACGGATAAGATGCTATACGACCGGATGTTTCATGAAAAGCTTAAAACAGAGGGAGACACCCATTCTTAGTGTATGTATTTTAAAAAGTACTTTATTCATTACAAAATGGGCGCAAGAATGGATTACTTATGAATGATTTCTATAGAGTATATGTTAATGTATCAGGATATCTAAAACCAATGCTGCTCCTCCTCCTCCTCATCACCGGAATTGAGGCCAGCCCTGGACCTCCTCGGTACTGTTCACTCTGTCAAGTCCGCCTGAGCTGCCGCGACTGTTCTGTAGGTTGCAGCTCCTGCAATGGTTGGTGCTATCGTCGCTACAATGACCTCCCAACTCTGCCGAGGGGTCGCTTGCTTCCACCTGTCCCAGTTGTCCCGTGCCTCTACCTGCTTCTATCCTCATGTCCTCCACACAAATGCTCAAGTCTCTAAACCCGCCACGCCACCTGGCCTTAATATTACATAGTTCAGGGGCAACGGCCCGCTCGGTAAGCTTGACCAGCTCCTCGCCTTCATGCGTTCGCACAGCCCAGCTGTAGCGGCAATTTAAGAGCCAAAGTGAACTAACTTCACCAAGATTCCTTCCTGTGCCAACTACACGATTGTCCGTGGCGACCGCGGTCGCAACAAAGGCCAACATTTGGACTTATATGTGGAATATTAAATTGCACATCATCAGATACCCCTGCTTAGTGCCGACCCAACAGAAATCTTGGCAATTTCCCTCGACATTGGCCCGGCTCGCTAACGGCAATATCTCACTAATTTTCACTTGTCCTCTTCGATTCACCGCTTCCATCGTTCCCTACTTACCTTCTGGAAAAAGATTGGTTTAGGGTAACTTCAATGCCCACCGCGACCTGTGGTGCTCTTACTTGGCGGTTGATTACCGGAGAGAAGCCCTGACCAGTGAATTAGAATACGCTCCCTTCACAGTCGTCAACGAGGACAGCTCAACGCGGCTCCCGTACAACGGTGCCTCGCAGCTGGCTTAATGTGTAGTGGCATTGAACTGTCTGTTTGTTTTACTTGGTTAAATATGCCTTACATGAACTTAACACAACTTTTAAATAAGACGTTGACCAAGCACGTGCTTTTATCTGCAAATGATTTGTTCTTATTTACTCGTTCATAACTGTTGGGATACGTTCATCATCTATTATATGGTCGGACTACTTCGTATCCAACATTGGTGACC